TTATCTGGATTATATCTCTCTGATGTAAATTGATAAGATCAATCATTCATCATAAAGCATATTTTTGTTGAGATCAGAGCATCAACTTTCTCATTGTTTGTTTACACATATTTACGCTAGTGTCACATTCATGTTAATCAATAAGACATTGGATACATACAATTTGCAGTGTTAATGCTGTTACAATATCAGATAAAGGAATGCATATTGTTTTTCTTTTAAATCTTTTTAAATAAATTAAAAAACTCAATTTATGTTTACAGTATTTAACTTAATATTAACATGTATTTTTATATCATTTTTCTTGACTTCAACTCATGATGCTTTCCATAAAATAAAATAAAAACTTTAGAAACTGATCATTTATAAGATTTAACTCAAATTTAAATAATTAAAACCTAGTGTATAAAACTGAATTTCATAACATTATTTTCAGGCATGCAAGGCCCAAAGAAACAGGTAGTTGTTAATTCCACGCTGAAAAGTAAAAGGAACCAAGAAAAATACAAAGTTGGGGAAAAAGAAAAATAGTATTTGTTGATGTTTTTTGTGGAGACCAAGTTCTGCTTTTTAACACCGGGTATTTTTTGTAATACCTGCATAAGGAACAATTCTAGAAGTTAATGATTCATTGAAGATATGTGTGAAAATAAGACAGAAATGCAAAATTTAAACAAAGCAAAACACAGGAAATAGAACCCAAGGAGCATCTGCTAGATTTTATCGTAGTGACCATTTCAGATGTTGAAACTCTGCAAAGTGAGAAGCACTAAAATTGAAAAATCAAATCACCAGCTGAAATCTTACTTCAGATATTACCAGAGTAAAATAAATCTAAAAATGTATTGCATTAGTCTATAGTCTTTTCCAGAAATTTAAAGGCTAATTAATTATGATCCCTACTTAAGTAAACACTTTTACTTTTCCTTACTTCTATTAGCTTCCCAAAAAATGGTTCATTGATACAAGACTGCTGGTTCAAATTACAGGCAAGCAAGTGAGCAGGCAGGTATCCCCTAATCTACTGTCAGGTTTACGCCCATGTGATTTCATGGAAGGAAGCTGGTTCATTAGGGAATGTGGCACAAATGATGTCTGTCTAGTTTTTAGTCCAGAGGTGAACAACATACATTGCCACCCAGGATGGAGATGTAAAGTATGGAGTGCCCAGTTCTAACTGGCTGAGGACCACTGACGGGAGAAGCTGATGTATTGCAGAAACAAATGTGAACTAACACTTTGAGGTCTCTGAACAACATTCAGCTGGCTGATCAATGACACGGGGGCAGTGACAGTCCCCTCACATTGAATGAATGAAATCAGGAAATAAAAAGCAGTGGGTGGCACAGCGGTGCTGGGGTCCCGAGTTCTCTTCCAGCCCTGGTGTGCTATCTGCATGGAGTTTATATGTTTGCATGGGTCTCCTCCCCAGTCCAAAGACACAGTATTTGGGGAAACTGGCCCTGGTGTGAGTGTGTGCTTGTCCGTGTCTGTGTGTATGATGGACTGCCATCCCATCCAGCATGTGCTTTGTGCCCACTGCTTTGCCAGCATAGGCTCTGACTCTCCCACAGCCCTGGATGTAACGGTCAGAAATTGGACGGATGGATAAAACGCAGTCCACACCATACATCACAAAGAGCACAGGCCTTGACATCTTTTACGGAGGTTCTTCTTACTGCAGATCGGTTTTATACACCTTCCTGCCTAATAATGGTGGTCATGTACACTAAAACCATACTCACTGTTTATTCAGACCCTGAGGCACTGATACTGATGGGAAAAATACAGTCTGCATCATCAAAGTGACCTAAAACTGAACACATACCTTCTTGGATTTATTGAATGATTGATATACAAATTTTGTTGGTAAGTGTAATATTATAACAAACCAGCAAAGTGTAGTTTTATGTGAACTAACTCACCATTTTATTGTATAGGAACAAATAAAGTTTAAATCCACACTGAAAAACAGAAAGGAGAAACACATCTCAGCTGTAGAGCCTTCTTCAGGCATGTCAAAAATGTCCAAGAAAGTATAATTGCTTCATTGTGAATCATTGTTCTCATGGATACACGAGGGAAAGGTTACTGGTCTATGGAGGAATTTTAATCTTTTCTAAAACAGAAAGTATCCTAGCCTTTTACAAGCACAGATATCAGTATCGGCTCATTTTAAGGGTTAAGGGTTAACTGTCTCTCTCAGCCATCTGGGCTGGTTTGAGCTGTGGGTGTGCAGCTCAGAGGGTTCAGAGAAAATCAACTCAGGAGTGAAATCAGCTGTGGATGATTTTGGTGACACTTTTGTTTATTGTCTTACTGTACATATTAACACTATTTATAATGTACCATTTTGTCTACATCGTCTGGTGTCCATTGTATATCCTGAGAGAATGGCACAAATAATTCCAATGTACATATAGATACGGCACTAAACTCTTCTACTCTACTAGTCTAATCATCTAGTCCGGCTAGTTTAAGGGTAATCAATGAGAGGGAAAAGAGGGTTATATCTGCATTAGATTGCAGATGGATTAAGAGATTGGTTTCCTCCTCCATAGGTTAAAATGTCAATTCATTTTTGCTTTCCTTCTGGAGGTTAGAAGGGACAAGCTTGTCTCATCACATAATGCTGCGACTACAGAGGACTCCCATGAGGCAGAACAGGTTACAGACCACATCAGGGTGGGATGGGTATTTAAAACAGGACTGGTCCAACCTCAACCCCACTTTCGTGATTCCCCACTGTTTGATTACCAATTAATCAGGGTACAGCAGGTACCCTACTAAGAGGGGGGTCCATGTGTAGGTTCCCAAACACCAAACTGCCAGTTAAGGGGAACCTGCCCCAGTTACAGTACAAAATATGAAACAATAAGGTGTCCTTATCAATGTCAGAACACTAAATTGCAACGAATTATATTCTGATGGGACTTCAACTGCTGCAAACAAATAACGCATGTTTCCATATCTCACAGGTTCCAGTTTGTGATGTTTTGTTTACCTGCAATTTACACTGTAATATATTGCAGCTACTATCTTAAAAGCTTGTGAAATTTTAATTTCTGACATGATTTAATATATAATTGCTTGCACTTTTATAGTGCTCTTAAAAAGTCTGCTAGGATGCAATGGAACCTCTAACGAGTTTGTTTTTTTATTGCGATATTTGTTCATGTTAAAACAATAATTTCTGCTATGACCACCAATTGTGGTTTATATTTCTAATATATGACATATACACCTACAAAACTACTTAAAAGAGATGTAAAGACACAGGTGGTAAATACCTAGGATAAGGAGAACTTATAAGACTTGTAGCAGTGTTGTAAGAACATCCTGCTCACTTCCTTAGGCCTGGGGACAGTTTGCTAAGGAACAAGAAAGTATACCTGCTTTAATCATTTCCTTTTAAATTATAATATGAAATTATATTAATTACAATGATTTGGGGCTAAGTAAGTTTGGTGCTGTATGGTTTCTGAAAAATCTGATGTAAACAAAATGCACTTTGCATGTATCTGTTTGTGCTTTTGGATCGATTTTATAAACAACAAACTGGACACAGCTTAACAAATTAAACACTTTATTGTACCACAAATACACAAAAAGCTCATTTCTTCTCGGTTTTGGCTTTGGGACTGAAAAATGCAGAAAGGCTTTTCATGCCTGTTTTGTCCACTTTGGCCAGAGTTTTCTGTGCAGCAGTTAACTTTTTCGCCGGCTATTGACAATAGAAAAGGGAAAACCAAAGATGTAACTTCCTTACATAAAGGAAAACTGGGCCCTCTGTATTTATCACATTCCAGAACGAGCATGTTTTTCACCTCAGAACTAGCTAAATTTTAAAAAAATCAATGTAGACATAGGCACAAAACACTATAGCTGGCACTATAGCCTTTTATTTTCCTCTTGTTTTTTGTAGTCCACCAAGCATGCAATACTATAAATTTGCAACACTATAATTTAACTTCTATGACTGCTGTTTTGTGAACTATTATCAATCTAAAATGTGGAGTTATAGTAACCTAGTAACAACTTGCTCAAATCACTTTTAACAGTATTTAAACAGGACAGAAGGGTGTATATATATATACCGTAATTCCATTTTACAGTGATTTATTTGCTGTGAACTGATAGTCACTCACTTTTTTGCCAAGATCCCCACTGTTGAACTTGGTGTAATCCTCTTCTGCCTCCACAGGCTTATCTGACAATTTCCTTTTCTGTAACGTGAGAATCAGGAAGTGTCTCCATCAGTACTTAACTATAATTAACACAGAAGTACTGTCATGCCGGAGGCTGCCAGCAGTTAGCTCTAATAACCTCATGCTAAACATACTGTGAAGGAGGATGCAAAATATACGCTCGGTGGGATTAGTTAAAAATTTTACAGTGTGTTCAAAATAACACAGCAGCCAATGGGTCTTAAAATGCCGTCCCCAGCAATACAGCGATTAAACACAATCTTGTTTCAAATTCAAAATGATGTATATGTGAATGGTGTCCATGTGAATTTTTGTTTTAATGCTTTGTTATTTGTTATGTATGCAGGGATATATTTGTTTTAGCTAATAACTGTGGTGTGAACAGTATCTTATCCCTCTAGGCAGACTTTTAAGTTATTGAAGTTGAAGTCTAAACTGGGATTTTTGCTATTAGGTTTTTCCCCAATGGAAAGGAATATGATGGATAAATACAGTTCTTATTTTATTTTTTAATAGCCAAGTAATTTCTACCCCATTGGGTCAATTAAATAGATTGATAATGTTGAAACTTTAAATTAAAGGAAAAAAAGCATTAAACATTGGTTAACAGGTGTCTCTTGTTTGTTGCTGAGTAAAGATGTATTCATGAAAGAGCTGTGAACTGTATCAACCTGTCCCTAGTCAAAAGACAAAATGAAAACCAGAACTTTGAACTCTCTAAAGAGAGTAATTCTGAAGCTGAAAATAGAACAAAAAAACAGAACCATAGTAGAGAAATTGGGCATACCTAAATCAACAAAGTAAAATATACTATAGGAGAAATAAACCACAGGTATACCTTAAAATACTTTTTAAAATATTTGCGATTGATGACTGAAAAACAAATCGGAGCTGTCAACGAAAATCCTAAAACGACTGTCAGTGAAATCACCAACAGCCTTCAGAGTGCTGGCGTGAAAGTGTCAAAATCCACAGTTTGCACAAAACTAATAGAGGCTACACCGCAAGATGTAATCCTCTCATCAGCACCAAGCACGGAAAAACACAGAACAATTTGCTTTGAAGTACCAAGTTGAACCAGGCCAGCTCTAAAACAAAGTTTTATGGACAAATGAAACCAAGGTAAACTTTTTTTACCAAGGTGGTGTGTGGAGATCCCCTGACTGATGATGGCAGAAACAGAATGAATTCAACGCAAGTTGACATAAACATTTTGTCTACTTATGTAATTGAAATTGCTTCCAAAGTTATTTGCTGGCACCTCGCCATTAGGCAGGACAGAAACAGAAACATAACCAATATAACCAGAGAGTTCATTAGGAGAAAAAGTGGGAAATCTTATACTGGCCAAGTTAAGCTACAGATTTAAATACAAATGAGCGTGTATTTCTTACATTTTATTTTTATTCTCAGTGAGTCTTTTAAATAGCGTTTATTTTATTTTTTTCTAACATTACAACTCATTTATTTATTCTTTTGAGCTTGTATTGGTTTATAAATTGTAGATTGTAGATTTTATGAAGGTTGACTGTTTTATTTTCCATTTGAAAAAATGACTAAATTCTTTGTATTGAATTTCATTAAGAGTTTTTTTTCCCCACATAGCAGCTTATTTGATTTTAGATTTGATAAACACAAAGTAGTGACTAACACCATTAATTCATTTAGTAATCATGAGATGTTGGGAGGCGAACAGTGCCTGGAAAAACAAGCGATACTATTCATTACTTAGCAAAACGGATGCCTGCTGCATACACCGTCTCAAAAACAATTTGGTTGTTGCTTGTTGTGCCGAAGTGCATTATACTGAGAAATAATTTGTCTTAAATTATGAAGTAATGTATATATATATATTCTTGAGGCACGTTCAACCACATTAAGAGCACAAAAATACAATCTTACTTGCAAACTGTTCTTATCATTCATGTGAATATCACAACAACAAATATAAAATTGCTTGACTGTAAGGCAAAACAATAAGTTTTGACTTTTGTCTGGGTCAAACAAAATATTCCTAATATAGATACTGCAAATTAAAAGACAAAATTAGGACAAAAAGAAGACTGAAGAAATGTACGTCTCGACACTTTTATCAACAAAAAGCTTTCCAGCATTAGAATACTAGAAAATTCAAATCTAACTCAGCCTAGAGTATTACGTAATAAGAGTAAGATATGCATGAAAACGTTTTATGTGTGCTTTCTGAGTCACCTACAAAATACCACAAAACAGGAGAGAGGGCACACAAAATGTTATGGTATATACTAACATACAGGTATACAGAATTTATACTCAATGAAGTTGTGTTAGAACTGTACAAGTAAGAAAGACTTAAGTCTTTAAGAACGCCATGTAAAATTGTGGTCACAACATTCTGAGAAAAGCTGCTGCAGCTTTTCTGGAGTAGATTTCAAAGAACAGCCAAGTACAGAGTACAGACTCGTTCCGTTTTCGCGATCTTGAAAACGAACGTAATCAACAATTTCATGGACTTCAACAGATGGCAAATCAACAGAAAAACCTGCATCAGAGAACGCAAGTGAGAATTAAGAGGCTGCATGATTAAGTCCGAGAACAGAAGAGGATGAGTGCCTGCATCCAAGTTGGCCTGCTACGTTGCCAAGGCCAATACATTGGGATCATTAGAGAAACATTTCGAGAAACGGTTTGATGGCCGAACAATTCGCCGTTGGCACCCAAGTCAGCTTGATAGGCACACGTTAAAAAAAACATGGGAATGTAAAACTAAATGTAATCTCAGGAGTAAATACTAATAATTTCACATTTTATAATAATATATTTTATTGCTAAAGAGGAGAAACATGTAACTACACACTTTTTCTTGTATTCCCAAACGGCACATGGAAATATATGAAAATCATTTTCGTTATTCTCTTACTTAATAGTAAATTCGCCCGGTATTTATGTAAAAAGGGACCGCACAATGGCGCAGTGGTCATCATTCCTGCCTCTCAGCTCTGCGGCCCTGGGTTCAATTCTCCCTGTGTTCACGTGGGTTTCCTCCGGCTGCTCCAGAAGACATACTGGTAGGAAAACTGGCTGCGGTTTGAGCGTGTGCCCCCTGATGGACTGGTGTCCCTCCCTGGGTGGACCCTGCCTTGCGCGTGTTGCTTGCCAGGCTGGGCTCCAGCTACCCGCCAATACTAAATTAGCTGAAGCAGTTCGAAAATGGATGGCTGGAGTTTTAAAAAAAGTATGTTTTCAATTTCAAAATGTCAATTAATTGATGCACAGGCTTTTTTTGAATGTCACTGCTTCAGCCTTATGTCTTACCAACAGAAAGGCAAGAGATCCTGCAGTTATCTTACCTTTATTGGTGGCTCCACACTGACTGGGCTTGAAGTCTCTGGTAGCCTGAAACAAAATAATTTGATTCCGTGAAGTGACATTTTCAGCTATGTTACAATAGCCTAAGGCACCATGCCCACTGCCATTTTCCAGCTCTGCCATGTAGGTTTCCTTAAATACGTCTACTTATACAGAGAGGTATGAAAATCATCAAAAATGTTCCTTGTTACAATACTTTTTACATTACATTGTAATGTTTTTCATCACTGTAACAGAGTCAGTTTTCCAGCACTGCATACAGTTACTTGAAAAAATATTTATTGACAATAATACACTGAAAAAAGACTGAAAATTAGATATTTAATCTCCAACATAACCAAAAAAGTCCAGTTCAAAGAAAAAACAAGTTCATCTTGCAAGGTACTGATAAATATGGTGCTAAGATATTGACATGCTAGAAAAGTTATAAGAAATGCCTTTTCTCCCAATCCTGATTAACTACGAGTTGCACTTACTGTAGATAGGTGAGGAGTTCTTTGCAGAGCTCTTCAGGAATGTACTCTGATATCAAACCATGAGCATAACGGATATAGTCTTCTAGAGAACAAAAAACAAGGCTATGTTAAACATATAACTTTGTTTTATACAGATTTATATTAATCTACTTGGATGCTTTTATTTTCATATATTATCAGTGATTTTCATAACTAGAAAAAACAAATCTGCCATGGCATCTTTATCCTTTATACTGGGGGGAAAAAAAGCTTTTCAGTATAAATTAAACAATAAACAAGTTGATAGTTGCTGAATTTTAGAGTTCTAGTGCCCTCTGCTGGCCACAGTCAGAACAGCAGGAAGGCACAGCCAGATGATTTACATGCAGGAAACTGTATACTTAACATAAGCCATAATTGTAAAGGACAAGAGGCACGAAAGAACATTATACCTCTGAAAGGTCTTAAAGACAGGAAAGAGAGGAAGGCACACTATTAATCCATAAACACCAAACCGATTCCACAAATGCCTGAGGTTTGTAAAAATGCAAAGCTGTGAGAAGATTATAAGCATTTGGGGCTTTTCGAGTTAACAGACTGCATTGCTGGCCAAGTGAATAGATTCAGTGAATTAGGAGACCATATCAATTTCAACTCTTTAATATAAGTTTAGGTGTTCCTAAGAGGCAATGAGACTTCATCACTGTATTTTTAGTACCACACAGTTAGATAAGCCTTACAAATCTGTACCTTCTTGCACATCTGATTGCTGTGTAGTTCTGATAAATGTTGAAGACTTCACTCCTCCACCCACACAAATTTTGCTGTTTTTCAGGGCTTTCACAGTCCTGTCCACCTACAAAGAGGAAGACAGAAGTTTTCATCTCTCTGGTTTAGAATGATCGATTCTACATTCATTTATGAACCCTTTCAGGAATGTTTCAGAAAAGCTGAGTATGCACATGGATGTCTAAGACACTTTCAAAGCCAATTTTTGTAAAAAAAGAGTAGGACTGCTGATAACACCCACATCTGCCTTTTAGCCAAGTCATTTAGAAGCAAATGTAACAGGTAGTTTTCATTTAAAAAAAAAAACACTTGCCGTGATAAAAGGCACGACTAATGTGCCAGAAGCTTACCTTTAAATTGAAATCTTTCCAGGGATGTACTCCTCATGAATAAGCAAGACTACTTGGGATTCAAAATTTGTAGCTCAAATAATTTTGCTTTTACTAGCAACTTTCTTTAACATTGGTAGCACTTGCCCTTTTTTACAGCTGTCAGCCCTCTGAAGGGAGAATGGAACAAGCTACTCGGCACTGTTGTTTAAGCCGGCTGGACTAGATCTGCCGTTCAACAAGCTACTAAACCTTACAAACACGCGCGGTGGGCAGAACGGCCTCCTCTTATTTGTAACTGTTCTTACGTATGGTCTTAAAAACTGGACTTTTTACCTTCTTCTTCAACCACACCATTGTCTTCTCCTGGCTGTATCTATGAAACTTTTGACTTCCGACTTCTAAGAACAGAAATGAACATGGACATCCGTTTGAAATATTACCCCTTGCAAATCATTGTGTTAAATCACTGAATGTTTATCCTGGGATATATCCCCCGACTCATAATCCCTCTCAAACTTTTAAATACCATAGGTATTATGATATAGTAAACAATGTATTGCTCTTAAGGACAGGCATGCTTGGGAACGATTCTGCTCAGACAGGAATATCTGACGTATGGCAAAGATCTTAAGTTTCTCATGTCTGAGTATCGCTGCCCAGAGGTGTAGCTCCAGCAACTCACCTCTCTCTTCCGCGACATGACAAAGAGACTTGAGTGCCCTTGCACAGCTGAGCACCCTCCTGCATCCGGGGAACTCTTCATCCACCACTATCTGATCCACAGGCTGAAACTTGCCCTGCAGAACACAGTATTAACAAGCCTACCCCACAAAACACAAGCCGTCTCTGTTTAACTCCATTGACTGAACACATGAAACACACGCTGGGAAGAACCTACACAGCTGGGAACTGTTCTGTAGCCATTTCCGATTTCTCAAATGCAATTTTGGAGGATTACACCAGGACAATCTAGCAAAACGTTGCTACTGTAGCAAACAATTGATACAGTCAGAAACAAGCTTGCCGGATAAGTTGTCAAAACAGATATTCTGGCCTCTTCCAAGAAATGGTTGGATATGCTCCTTGAATTAATTAGCAGTTTACAACCATATAACACAAGTGGACCAAAAGGCCTTGTCTGTTCCGTAATGTTTCTTATTAAACAGATTCTACAGCATGCCTCTAAAAACTATTTTCATTTCTTTGTATTTGGGAATTTGACAATTTTCACTTTTACTTTGCCAGCACCTTAAAGTACTCCTACACAGCATTAACATATAAGCATGTGTACTGTGCAGCAATGCCAAACTCAATATAGTCATCAGAATACCAGGAGTCATGGTGGTGTGTTTTATAAAGATATAGTCAGGCTAAAATAGGAGAACTTATTCTTACTTATACTGTACATACCTCTTTCCCAGCTTTTAACAGGTAAGGCAACAAAAGGTACAGAGGGTCCATTGGTGTTACATACAGCAGTCTTCCATCTACAAGTATTTTTTAATTAAACAGAAAAGTATGTTGTCTACAGATTAAAATAATACACAGGTATTGTTAAACAAAATTGTCTATATTGTCCACTATATTGGCAACAAGAGAGTAAGCACACATAAATGTTCAATTTTTAAAAATTGTAGAAGCTGCTCTGACATAAATCTTTATAACAGTAACTTCAGTTGCCAAAAAAGACTAGATGCAGTGACATATGCTATTACAGCAGGCAGAATTTAATAAGTTTAAATATGTTTTGGTTAGTTATTCTAAGTTTGAGTTCCTGACCTAATTCTGAGCACAGTGTGGTCTAGTGTGTGAGAAAGCATGATTCTCTACTCGCCACACAAGATCGAACTCCACAAATTTTATAATGTATGAAAAAATACTTTGTTTATTGAGTCTTAATCTATGAGGAGTTTAAAATTAAAAACTATTACTTCTTATTTCATAACACTCACCTCGCTGCACTGTTTGTCCAATAAACCAGGAGTGATAATCTTCATTAAAAGCTTTCACCTCATACAGCTGCAGGTCGCCACCCCCAAAGAGGTACAGAGAACCAACATCTAGTAGAGAAGCAAAGGTACTGTAACTCTCAAAATTGGCTGACCTGATATAACTTCCTCTGTCCCCTGTCTTGCATGACATAACTTGTACTGTACAGAGTGTTGAGCTGTCAAAGAAGGGTTAACATCTTTCTCTACATGTAAGTGGTTGATAAACTGTGACTACAGGACCTGATGCAGCATATTTCTCACCTAAATATCAACATACGTGGAGGTTGCAAAGGAACAAGTAATAGGTTTATTCCATGCTGAAAAGAGAAGAAAGAAAACACAACGTTTTGGCCGTGGAGCCTTCTTCAGGTGTGACTGGTTTCTGGGAAAACTGGTCCTTGGTGTGAGTGTGTGCGTGTCCGTGTCTGTCGGATAGGCTCCACCACCACACTAAACTAAACTGGAAGAACTGGTTAAAAATGGATGGATGGATATTAACCTGCACGATTTTGCAATTTCTCTCCAAATTTATTTGACTGACAACGTTAGAAACAGACTGCAGATTTCTCTTTAGCAATAGAAAAAGACATCTCCCACCTCCTTTTCTGTCTCAGGATTTCTCCAAATACAACAGCTTTATGTTGTAAACCCTTGTTCACAGAAAGGAAAAATGCCACCTACCAGCCGTTAAGAAAGAATGGCGGATTGCTTACTTGATGCAGGATTTCGAAGATGAACAAAAACAGGATCACTGTTTGGCTTCTTTTTTCCATCAATGACTGAATCTGTAAACAGGAGGGAACATGGATATTCACAGATCCAGGGGTCTTCTAAAATACACATCAAAATCTACTGAGTATTTAACTATCGTGTACCACTAAAATGATCAAATTATTCAGAAAATGTCCCTTAGGCCTTATAATTAAATATGACACAAAACATAAAACTATAATCGTACAGAAGAATTAGGCAGGTTTTTCAGAAAATGTTTAAAATTGATTGGACAATGTACTGGTCAAAAACGTGTATGTAATGTCCAAACAGTAATTGGTCAGGCATTAAACAAAACAAACCAAGCAGATATGAAACTGGCACTACAGTATCATTTATTTATTGGGCCTTGTATTTCGTGTTGCTACAATGTCAAGCTGGTCCTTTTTATACTATGAACAGGCACCAAAGAAAAGTAGCCCAAGTTTCGGCGTTAACAATTCAAAGTTACGAACACCATTAAGACATGTTTCAACAGATCCCTTTATTGTATAAAGCAAAACTATAAAACCAGTAACACAGCTGTATTTTCTACGTGAACATTAAAATATGAAGGCTGTTCATCTTGTTCAAAGCAGTCCCGACAGTTTTTGAGAGCCTCGGTCGGCGTACATTTCAGAATAGACTAATTCAAGAACGGAGCCAACAGGATTAAACGAGGAGGAGGGAGGTGGTCGTGGTATCTCAATGCTGCGTTAACTTTTATAATAATTTCGTTTACTTATTTTATTTGCTCACTGCAAAAATGGAAATGAGAGGGGCTCATAGTGCTGAAAAGCACCGATATACTACTCTGTCATACATCATTTCCAAGGCCGAGAACTATATCCACCACAGTATTTTTCGTGTGAACCCGTGCAGAATATCCTTGCTCTGTCTCTCGTGAAAACTGTCAATACCTTTAAGGAGAAGTAATTGTTTAAAAAAAAACACTTAAAGCAGCGATTAAGTTTGCAGGACAGACGTCTTCACACACCTCGGTTCAGAGATGGGCATGGCGGCTGTAACCTGCATTAAAGCCGCCTAGAGTCGACCCCGTATAGCTTACCTGCAGCTATAACAACCCACTGGTCTGCCTGCGTGTTTGACTGACGCTTTCTTCTTGTAGTCATGTTTGGAAAAGTTTTTTAAAAAGGCTGTAAAACATAAATTGTTATGCGAGAGTACTAACAAAACTAAGAAGCTAAAAATGGCGGTAAAATTCTTAATAACTTCGACGGGGGAAGCATATCTTTAAGACTTTTTACACTGATGTATAAAAAGAAAGATATATTTTTCAGAAAATAACGAAATCATATAATGTTACTAATGTACAGTCTGTTGATGTAGACCACTTTTATGACAAGAGATCACACAGGGTTGTTACGCTTCTCTGTTCAGTGAATTCCCTTAAAATTGGTCTGTCCCATTGTCGTCATTTTAAAGAGACAGTGACCCACTCCTTCCTTTTTTGTGTCACGAGTTTACTTAAATCGCACATCTTTTTTCTAAAACAAAAACATTGCCTTATTTTTCTTAGTACAATGCAGATATCCTGCTTTATTCTAAATTTAATAATACCGTGGGGTGTCGGAAACGTTAAAGTGGCAGCATGTTTTTCGTTTCTGCTTTATGAAATGAACTGCAGAAAATAGTTGCTCCGCTTTTATTTATTCTTGGTAAAAATTATATAAATACTCTTAGAAATTCAGTTTTCGAGCTAAGAGGCTCGCCACAATGCATTTTATTTCTGTAGCGTAAAGGGACAAAGGGGTACGTGACTCACCCTGTATTTATTCTATCCTATCACATTAATAATGAATGTTATTTACACCAGTGCTGGTACAGTACACAGTTCTTATATACAGCTGGATGAACAAAACACGTGTTCAAAATGTAGAGATTTCAGCACTGAAATTAAGACTGGTCCGAGCGAGGAAAACTAATGGTGAAATGCAGTGCTCAATTTACACACAATTTCAGAGTGAGTAATGAGCTTTTGCATAGACAAGCTTTGTATCTCTTCGAAGAAAAATGAGATTAGCATTATCAATGCAAAGCTGCAAAAAGTACGTTGTGTAAAATAAGAAAAGCGTGTCTGTGAGGATAGGTAGCGTCACATAATGTACCCCATCTGTACAAATGTGCAGTGTGTTAGCCTGTATAAGTCTATAATGTGTAATTAATATTAAAAATTACTTTTACTTTTATAGAGACTAAGGATGCAATAAATCCGAGAGTCCGTATAGTCCCTTCATGATTTTGGAACAGTTTGTCAATTAAAATCCTAATAACACTGGGCTGTGAAATTCAACATAGTGTTTTAACTCACGCCTGTACTCCAGCAAAGATTGCATTGTCGTTCGCTCACATTTATGTTTGTATTTACAGTGTTAGTGTTAATTTGGGCTTGTTGTTGTGTTCGGTATTTTCCACTTAATCCAAACGCAAATACATGTTATTTAGGGTGGTAGGAGTGGGGCGTGGATTTACACACCGGTTCTTTTCTGTGTGTAAATTCGAAAACAATTCCTTTGTTTCATCACATACTGTGTAGGGTATTTACTAGGGCGTTATAAGGGAGAGCCCTTCGTCCGTGATGTGAACCAGCACTCCTAACTGCTCACAGCTGCAGTTTGCATAAATGCGCCATTTATACAACAATGTGAAATATCTCATCGGAGCTTTACTACACTTAGGATGATGTTTTAAACCATGCTCATGTTGCACAACATCCTCCCATTTTCAATGCGCATACCCCGTCGCAAAACGTGGTGCAAAAAGTTGCTTTGTATTTATACTCTGAAAGGTGAGCGATTTGTAAGATGAAAAACGGTCGCGTTCTCTGCCCCTTCTCTACGCGGACCTACTGAAAATGAAATTCCCATCTGCACCAGCCATTGTGAATATTTTTTTTTTTTAAAAAATAGAATAATACACCCTGTCGTAAAGGATAGGAATTTGGTTATCTTAAACGCCCCTGTCTCCCTCATGGCGAAAACCAGTTCTGCCGTATTTTTACATTTCAAAAGACGGAGAAGCGCATCCTGGTTGGGTAGGATCAGCAGCGCCCCTCAATAACGGAAATCTGGTGGTGCGCAAAGAGCGCTTGAACTGTGCCGGGCAGCCCGTCGGAGCCGCTTTGTGAGACTGTTTCGCACCTGCTCTCGAAGTTAAGAGCGCAGGGAGGGGGGCTCCTGCTTGCGGGGTCGCTTTTTGGTTCCGAGCCGTATATATATATTTTTTTTCTTTTTCTTGTTGCGGCTTGGAGGTAGTAAAATGCAGGCGGAGGTCTTACTGAACGCGTCCATCGCGCATCAGGCAGAAGCGCTGAAGCTGCTGCAGCAGCAGGTGGACCTGAAACAAAGAGGCGGCGTGACGCGCGACAGATGCGGCGGGCAAGCGCCCGTCTCCGGCAGGAGCTCACTGCGGGAGCGCGTTAACCCCAACGACGGGGCTGTTTTGAAGAGGGGCTCAGGCTGGCCGGCTCGATCCGACAGAGGATGCGAAGTCCGTACTCTAGCCGTGAGAGCCCGAGAAAGTGCCTTTTGTAAGTTAACCGAGATAGCTTCCCAAGTTATTTCCACGGAGCAAGACATTTGCCGCTTTCTCTCCCCGAACCGGGGAATCGTAATGCACCCCAAGGTAGGAGACTGTCTGCTGGTGTTTCTTGTTGAAATATAAAATGTAGGGGGGGGGGGGCAGTTATAAGACTTTTAGGTTTCATTAAATTAAAATCGACTTTTCAAAGTGTTTATAAACTGATTTTAGATGGTAGCTAAAGATCGTGTTATAGTCTTGTGCTCCAGCGTTTCGTTTCATTCAGTAATTTTCAGACAGCCTTTTTAGTTGGGTTGAGGATCGGCGCGACCACCTTTGTACAAAAAATATCCAGTTCTGGAGCTGGACGGCCAAAAATTCTTGCAGCATATACCGAATTATTTATAAGCAAGAATGTGATGTTCTAGGGATGAAAAAACACATTTCACGTTATATTCGTTGTAATGGCAGTCCTCACTGGCGACAATGTGATGGACGCTTACTTTAGACATTAGCTCACAGCGCTAAACTGAGTTTGATAAAGAAGTACAGATAACCAAAAATACTTAAACTTTGGGTCTATTTCTTGTCCAGGAGAGCTGGATATAAGAAAATCTTCTGTCACTCTTAATTTCCCCGTTTATGGAGACTGGGAACACGCGAGATTTGATTCATTTAGCAAGCGACTCGGTTCAATACGTCAGGCGGGGGTGACATGGTGATGGTATTTTCGTTTCAAGTGATCTCTACCAACTTCTGAGTCGAGCAGTTGACTCATAAAACCTGCTGGGCGAGTTTCCAAACCCAGGGTTACCCTGGTAAAATGTATAAATTAAATTGGCTCGTGAGTAAAAAAATGTAGGAATGTAAGAAAACCTGCTCTCACTATTCAGCCCTTCACTAATTGGAAATGGTTTTAAATATTTCTAAGAAAAACAGGTAAGATGTGTTTTATCTGGGTGGAGTACTGGAGTGTTGACTGTGGTAATACCCCAGTGCAACAGATAAGTGAACCATAAAACAAGGCCTGGAGGTTTAGTGTGGTTAATACGACAGTTTAGGTTTGTGTCAAATATTCGGCTGTTTTGTCGCTATGTGTTTTAATTCTAGAGAATGTTCTGTGCTCATTTTTCTTATTGGGTATCATGTTTTCTCTGGTTCTAATTGCTCTTTTTCTGCCTTTTGTCTCCTAAAGGACAGTATTGATCTCCAAAACATCTGTATACGCATGGCGGCACGGGCCGATGGGCACCAGTCAGACAAGGACTTGAAAGAGCTAAGGGACTGCTTGAAAACCATTGTCGACAGCCTGCTTTTGTCCCTGAGTCACTACAGCTCTCCTTCACACACACGGGCAAGAGGACAGCTCCTGCAAATCTGTGAAACGTTTCTTGACGTTTGAAAAGTCCTTATCCTCAAAAGGGGGCTTCAGCATAGGAAATCACTCTTTCATACTTCATGGATTGAATTACTGTACGGAGGTTGACCTTTTGCAGAAACCCAGAAAGAGAAGTGTGATACCATGTATTTTTTTAATGTATTACTTCCGTTGAACAGCTCAAAAAAGCTGTGATTGCTTAGTGTTCAACTGAAGGAGTAGGAGGATGGACCATGTAAGAATCAAGTGGCCCAGGAATGCTCCATCCAATCTGATAACATTTTCACTTTCTAAAAGTAGAGCAAAAACATGGCAGATAACTAGATTGCTGGTAACAGATAGCAGCTGTAAAATAGCTCCTTTCATGCCCGCTGTATCATGAGTGATCTTAGTTTAATAAAGGAAAGACTGTGTTTATTCTCACATTCGTTTATCTGGGAGAGTGAAGATCAGAAACCGTTATAACAAAATTTCCAGAAATATTTTTGTTATGAGTACTTCTATTTGAATAGCTACAATGGTCTTAGAAAACAAACTCCTCTACCAAGTGAAATATTTATAGCTATCAAAGCGAAAAGAGACTGAGAATTCAAATTATTTTGACCATTTTGTAAATTCAGAATTAGTCTTGTTTGGGTTGGATTCAGCACTGAGTTTTGTTTCGCTAAGTGTCTTTTTTTGGACTAGATGGGAGCCTCGGTAGATTTTGTCATCAAGAATGTAACATTTCAGCACTAATTATGTTAGCTAACTGTGAACTATCTGTTTACAGCTTGACTGTTAAATAATTCACTTTTGTGAATGCTCAGTTTGGGACTGTTGGTTGTACATATATTGTAACTTGAGTTGTTTTTTTATCATTAGCACAATTAATGAGACATATCCAGATCTCTCAGAATGGATGGGTCCCAGGTGTTCTGTCTGCTCTCATTGTCTCTTCACTAGAAGCTTTGAAAGCAAAGATAAGTATGTTGTGCAAGGTAATGGTTTAGCCAATTCATATTGTACAGTTCCCTGCAATTCAAATTAAACTGTAGTGGGAATTAATTTGCTTGCCAGTAAAGCTTTCCTAATTTAAAACATACAGACTACTGTGGTTCTTACTAGGGTCCTGGGGGACGTCTTCCAGGGTCTTTTGATTGAATTGCCTCTGAGGTCTCCATTTCCCAATGGATCAGATGATTACCAAGTTAAGGCCGGACAATGAGGAATGACGTGGAGGATAAACTAACGAATGGAGAAACAGTCCTGACTGAATACGAAAACACAGATTTGTTGGACTAAAATATGACATGTGTGGGGTCATATCAATATGTCAGCCCATCCAGTATTATCAAAAAGGTTTGGATGGGTCCTCTTTTGTTTTCCCAATGGAACCTCAGGCCATGTGCAGATGGTTCAATTTGCAAATGGTGGGCAGGATACTACTACTACTAATAACTACTACTTCTACTACTACTAATAACAAGAAGAATAGTTGGATCATTGAGAAAACTACTACATTAAATTAACTAAATGGGGTTTGTGCTGACAGGCTCTCTGAAAAAGTATTTGAAATGTGAATCAAAATGTGATTTTAGGTGCCTTATTGGCTTGGACATAATGACTGCGTTATGTTGTACTGTGGTATTTCATTATAAAGATAAATCAATGTGTGTTTCATGATTTCTTTGTAACTTTGCTTTCAACAAATCCATGTTGCATGGAGCTTTTGTGTAATTTCTGCAGTAATGTGGGCATTACATTTTCTGATTCAATGAGCATTGCTAACAAAGTGATACTTATTTAGTTTTCTGATTATCACTCATCTGCGAAATTCATGCTGTGTGACAATGCCGCCTAAAATAAAGGGAGTTTAAATCCAGATTGTTTGGTGAAAAAATCACTAGAGGGCATCCAAGAGTAAAATATTGTTTTTGATATCTTTATCAAAAGTGAATAGGAGAATATAAGGAGAGAGTTTGTTTTGGTATTAGTGGACACATTACTGTGAGCACTATCTTTTAGAAAATGTTACCACAGTAATAGCAACCACCAAGAACCAACTGAAGCAGGGACATCCCCGACAATCAAATGAAATTTAAATGTAATTGTGTCAAAATGATTTATTTTAGATCTGCTTTCAACTGTTGTGGGCTTTCAATTCTATGGGGTAAAGAGCAGTTTATAAAAATGGAATAATAAGGGAAATCCCTACAAATATAGCAAGAAAACAAACTTGTGGGTGGGCACATATTACTATCAATGTAGGCAAAAAATCTGAGAGAATGTAACCACTTACATAGTACTTACAAGGCATAAAGACGATGAGGGAAATTTCCCAATAAGGAAATTACTTTTTTATCAGTCAAATGGCATCTTTTACATTTAAAAGTAACTGTTAACCCCCTGTGTAGTTTTATTTCAGTGAAGATGGGATGAATAAAAATAGAACAAGAGTCAATGGAAAGTCACATGACGACAGAGTGCAGAGGGGTATGTGTTGCTGTCATGGGATACAATGTCCCATTACAGCACGGCATCTCCTCTGTAATTTGAGTATCTTTCTTTTTGTTAGTTATTCAAGGTGTTTTTTTGGGGGGTAAACAGAATGAAATAATAGAACTCTTTGACCGGGAAATTCATCATGTCACTTATCAAGAAAACCAGGAGGAAGGGGCTGATTGCGCAACCATTTTTTGTGTTTTAATGCTATATTTTATGTACGTTCAACACGGCTAAAATTAAGTCAATAAAATTGAAGCCTGAAAAATGAACTGGTTACAGTTGGGCCTGTATCAAATTTTTAGGTGTGTCACTATTTGCCCTAATCATAGTCATAACAGTGGTGGATTATAGTGTATTCTTCACTAATTACTGGATGGTGTCAAAAAGAATGCCCATCCACTCAACAAACCAACATAATCATTAGTCATTAGTCAATCAGTCATTAGTAATTCATTTGAACTGTTCAGGAGTCTCTGACAGGGAAGTGTGAGTTTCTATTACTGGCTGTTTTAAGAATTGTAGTGAAAGAAAACAAGGTGATTTGCCATTATTCATCAAATGGTTTTGTTTAACTTTTTCACCAATCTGGGATTAATGCATTTTTTCATAAGAAGGAAGATGATTTAAAAGTAGAGCTTTTCTCAAGAGGATTCACGTTAGTTCCCAAAATGTCCAGTAGGGGTCACGTCGGTCTTGGAAATATACATTTGTCAATGGGCAACATGGAAATATGGGTATACAACAAGTTGTTGGATTATGTTTGTTGTATAACAAGCTGTTAAAACATTTCTATGATGTTTCTGAGTGTTTTATACAGATTTTCATTTAGAAAGTGAATATGTAATGTGATATCTAATTTTGCACCAATGATATTGAAGCATATCTCTAATAGAAAGGGCCTGTCAAAGGTAAATAGAACTAATTTTAACGTAAACTTTTTTTCAAGTATTCCTTTTCACGTGTCAGCAGGAAAAGCATCTTTTATATTGCACCCCATGTGCTTATCTGAGGTATAGCACTTTAAATTTTGATAGATGGTACAGTATTTTTATATGTTTGGGAAAATAAATTGTTCACAAAACCTTTTGAAAGCAAGTCAGGGCACCCACAAAAGACACACAATTGCTTGGCTAAAACTGTGTTAGTTTTCTGCGTAAAGGCCAAAATATAATCCTGTTTCCAATAAGGAGGAAAGGAAGAGGGAGATCTGGATGCTTGAAAATGGAACGACTCACTGTCACTGACTATGAAGTCAGGCATTTAGCGAACGTCTAAACGTGTGGTCTCCTGTGTGTGAGCTCAGTGCAAAAGCAGAGGTAACACTACTGTCTGAAGATAACGTGGAGCTTCCTGTCGTACGGAGTGGTAGAATATGAGCTGGAATCAAAATATACAGATGAGTTACATGAGCATGGTGTGTAAATGGCATTTGACCTCAATGAAACTATTGTCTGTTACCATTATTCTGAGAAAATACTCAGAAGTTAAAATTCTGCTAACTTTTAGCTAAAATGCCACTTTTATTTTTTAACAATTAGGAGAAAAGCTATACGGGTGTTAGCTATTAATATGTGATTCCCGATATCATAGCAAAACTGCTGATGCAATCAACCAGAATGTTATACTGTACGTCTATGCTGGGCGAAAAAAAAACAACATTCCTAGTTATGTTCAACAAGCAGGAATGTAGCGGAAGTGTTGGCCCATGAAGTACCCTGGTTCAGTGAGATTCAAGATGCTTGGGACATGTTGAAGAAGATAGTGGCAGCCCCTTCACTGCCACCCATAACTCTTCAGAAGCTCCGAGATGCCCTGGCCCACAAATAGACCCAGCTCCCTCAACAGCATGTGTAGCATCTGATTAGTGGGATGTGCAAATCTTGTCAAAGTGTCGCTGCATCACGTGGCATAAATACATGGTTGTGATCATGAGAAACACATCAGTGCATTACTGTAATCAATTCAATCAATTTTATATTCTATGGTGAACACTAATCAATTAAGAAGTGGTCTTAAAAATGTCTACTCCCTTAACATCCACAGCCCATCCATTTGATTAGATGCCTTCTTGCAGCACAAGTGGTTTAGTAAGCCTATGACTCAGATTTAAACCATGTGAGGATTCACAGTTGTTTCACAGGTGGTTTGCAATTGTTTAATGTACATATAATCTTCATAGCCCCAGACAGTTACTCCAGTTTTATTTGGGCTATAGGTTTTTATTTTGCCAAACACCATCTTAGTGCAATTAAATTATAGCTTTTTATTTTCCCTATAGCTTTTTATTTTCCCAAACACCATCTTACACCCTTGCATAGCAGAGCATACATAAAGAAAATTTGAAATCAATCATGACCCAGCTCTGTCACTGCAATCACAGTCTCACTCTTCATCGCATGTATCAAGCGTCTCCTCTGTTACTTCAGAAACAGCACCAGGCAACCAGAGATCTGGTTTCTTCAGCTGTTCGCCAGCAAGGCCTGCATGACCACAAAACCACAACACAGAAATCCGACATGCCCTGTAGCAGCATGCTTTCTGATAAAAGAACCCCATCGTGTAACCAAACATTTTTAACATTGTATATAAATTGTTTCTCTTAGTAATATGTTGTTTCACTGATTTGATAATGAGAGTATAATGCGCTTTAGAAATTACTGCAATTTTTAAATGCTTCAGAATGGACTGCAATTGAGTAAACACGCACACAGGTGTTCCTGATACAAGTATAACAGGAGAACACTTGATTTAATTTTGCTGCATAAAAATATTTGAGGGGACATCTGTGCCTTTATGATCTTTCAGTTTATTTACTTTTGCATTCCACGGTGCACTTATTTAAATGTTTGGACAGCAACTTGATGTTTTTGCAAACACTGTAATGTGGTGCTTTGTATGGTTTCAGAAAAAAAACATTAATCAAATATCTCAGTTTTGGATTGTATTAAATTAATAGTATTACATATCTTAGAATAAGATATAACAATCTGATCCAAAGTATCTGTCGTCCTTAGCAGCTCTGTATGTGTAAACACAATCAGTGATGTAATTATTGTGGTATAACCAGCATCTTTATTAGAACCAGTGCTCTTCCTAATTTACATCAACTATACAGATGTCAGCATATGACACAAAAGCAGAAACTGCAAACACTGTAGGAGCAGCGGAGAAAATTTAAAAAAACACAGCTCAGGGGTGTATGTAAAATAGTGTAAGGTATTGCAATATAAATTGGATTGATCTTGAAGAGGCTGCCTATGAAAGGTATTATTATTATTATTATTATTATTATTATTATTATTATTATTATTATTATTATTATTATTATTATTATTATTATTATTATTATAGGTACTGAAGGAGAGTGATAAAAAGACAGACAAACTACAAGGATATATAGTGAAAAGGAGTAGACTTTGCACAGAGTGACGTTATATTAAAAGTAGACCAACTTTCTTTACAATATTATGTACAATTTTGGAAATCACATTACACAAAATTTTATTGCTTCCCTAAATCTTTTTCAAAGTAGAGCCACCAAGTTAATCCTTGCTCAAAAAACCAGGATACACAAAGAGGGGTGGAAAGAACCTGTTCTTTTCAGTCTTGAAAAGCAAGATTTTAATATTTATAAACAAACAAAGAACTTAATATTTTTTAGAAAAAAGGGATAGTAACAAACTCGGCCCAAGGAGCCACTCCAATATTTACAGTGAGACTAGGACTTAAAGAAACAAATCTAAATTCAGAGGACGTTTACTTGGGACTGAGAATAGCAGGTAGGCTTTACACAAAGAGTGGCAAATGTCTTATGCATGTTCCTGGACATGTTGCTGAAGCTGGTTTTAGAGGTTCTTTCAGGAAATGGCTGTTTGACGTTTGAGAGCTGGTTCAATAATCTGCGAGCAAGCAAACTAGCAAGACGGGAATAGAATCTCTGCTGCACAGTGGTTTGAAATTGGCTATGACTGCGATCAATTAATAAAATACACACCAAAGGACTTCCCATCTCATCTTGGGGTATCTTCACAAAGGTAATGCTAAGGAATAAAAAACATAGAATAAATCCTCTGGCCAGGGAATCTTACATGTATGCATATATGTGGATATTTATACTGTACTATAGACATGGTTGTGTGTATATGAATAATTTATTTTACCTTCATATTATGTACAGTTATGGAATTTTTCTGGTACAATTTTCTGGTCAGGATACCACAATTATCATTATGTAGTCATATTGCACTTATTTTAATCTGTATTTTTAAATTATTTGTTCAAAGTGTGTAAAAGAGTTCCACTAAAAATGACTTTTGTCTCTATGACCCCGGAAATTAGTGGAGTATCAGCATCTGTCAGGATCTTGTATCCAGAATA